AATATCGAAAAATTCATAAAAAAAACACCTACACAATCGCTAATCAGGTGTCGGGTAGACACCTCTGGATTTTCTATATTCTATAAATCAGAACTCCGTAAACTAACCAGTTTATTGCTTTACTAACTTATGCAATGCCTATTGACTTGAAGGTACATCCATCCTTCCTGCTGCAATTTCCTGCGTTTACGATATAGAGGAATACTTTGGCCGAGGTGTCTGACAGTATATGTTAATTTTAGAAATTACGACCGAGAAAAATCAAAGATTTTCCTTGATTTAACCAAGAAGATTGTCACGGGTTTCTAACAGGACACTGGCTCCTCAACGAACACAGTAGATTGAAGCTGAGAAAAAACGGAGAATGCAGATTCTGTTGGAGAAAATGGGGAAACAGCAGAACACCTTATCACTGATTGCACCGAGACGACAACCGTTCATGCCATAAACTTTGGTACGGCTGATGTCGGAAATGGAGAACTGGCCACTGTGAAACCATCTCAGAAACTGGCATTTGTAAAAGCCCTGAGACTGTATGATGAGTTATAACTCCGTTATAACTAAGAGAGCTGTCGCAATGATTGACACCCTCCTAAACATTCTACATTCTACATAGGTTAAATTCACAGATATTACTATTATTTTGCGGGTTTGTACTACTTGCAACTTGTAATCAAAAGCAGCAAGATTAATTTGATTAGGTTTGGTGATCCAAAGAATTTGAATAGCTTCAATATCAGCGCAGTAAAAGATAGCAGTGAGCTTACTCACATATTGTGATATAGTACTGACTCAAATCAAAGATAGATTAGCTTCTATAGCAAAATTAGTCATCTGAATCGCATATAAAGCTTCTTTCAATTGTCAAAAAGTAATTTACATTAAAATGCACATGACATTCGATTAATATAAAGAAACATTACATTAGAAACACTGTCCTGTGTTTAACAAATAGACATATACACGCGAGACTCAAAAGGAAGGAAAAATTCCATTACATGTAGCTTTTACGATTGATTCCGCCATTTCGGCCAATCCGGAGCAGACCCTAAATAAAAAGTATATTATTAAAACTGCAGTGGACAAGCGTAATAACCGAGAACCGACCGATCCCATTTCTATTCAACAAACCACAACAACGACAAGCGACTCGACGATAGAGAAAAAAGTTCCGAGGCAGCAACAGCCGCCCATTTGACAAACGTCTGTTTCTGAAAAGCTCATTTGAATGTGCGCCCGCTTTTTCCATTACAACTTTGACGGTGTTTATCGGCTGGAATATATTAACTGCAGTTCTTTTCCCGTCTGTGATGCCCTTTTTCTGCTCTGTCATGACTTTTAGTTTAAGAAGTTTTCTATAAAACAATTAAGTTGTTTATTTTAAGATGTATATTCGGATAGGTTTTAGTGTAAATTTGATTCACTGATTTGTTCGAATATTTTATTTATATACAGGGCCGCTTGATGGGAACAAAAGCAAAAACTTAAATATAAAAATGTAAAAATAATATACAGGGTGGTCCGAACTGTATTCCGGAAACTTCGGCAGCATATTATTATTCTGCAGATAAAAATAAGTAAAAAAGTTCGTATAAATGTATGTCCTAAAATGCTTAGTTTCGGAGATGCAGAGTGTAGAAATTTCATTTTTATTTAATTTTTTTTTCAAATAATTTCTGCAGTAACGTCATATTTGGATGAAAATTGGTGTCTGGGAGTTTTTTGACATGAAAATGTTGATTTTGATGTCAATATAACTCCTACTAGTAGAGGGCGCCACCTACATATTTTTTAAATGTTTTGAAGAATTATAACTTTTTGTCCGTACCTGTGTAAAACTACTGATTAAAAAAATATACATTCACGACGTTTTTTACGTAAAAAATGTCTCTTGGTAAAAATCGCTACAAGTATTGGTTTTAGAGATATTTGGAATCGAAATTGTCAATACCTGTCATCATTGACATACATTAAACATGTTGACTAAATAGTTATTAGACTGAGATCATAAATTTGAAAGCTTTTGTGTCAGAAGTTCAACAGAAACTGTTTTATCAACATTTTTTTTGTAGAAAAATTTATGATTAATTTAAAAAAATAAAAATTTCTCAAATTTATTATTTGAGTGAAATAACTATCTACTCAACGTGTTTATTTTTCGTCAATAATGACATGTATTGACTATTTCCATTCTAAATATCTTGAGAACGGTTACTCGTAGCGATTTTTACAAAGAGTTATTTTTTACGTAAAAAGTCATAGAGATGTACATTTTTTCCCTCAGTAGTTTTATACAGGTACGGACAAAAAGTTATTAAGCTTCAAAATAGTTAAAACACATGTAGGTGGCGCCCTCTACCAGTAGGAGTCATATTAACATCAAAATCAAATTTCTCATATCAAAAAACTCCCAATTTTCATGGAAATATTGGCGTTACTTCAGAAATTATTTAGAAACAATCGAAATAAAAATTCTACACCCTGTATCTCTGAAACGAAGCATTTTAGGACATACATTTATACGAACTTTTTTGCTTACTTTTATCGGCAGAATATGCTGCCGAAGTTTCCGGAATACAGTTGGGATCACCCTGTATATTAGCAGGTAATAAATTTAAGTATACAGTATAAAGTCGTGGTACATCAAAGTTTCATTGTTTTTAAGTGGAACCTCCTGTATATTATTGCATATTTCAATTCTAAGCAAAAATCGAGAGACACACAATATACCTCAAACCAACCTTTTACGAGTTATCGACTTTTGAAAATAATCACTGAAACAATTCGATTTAATTAATTTCGATGTGTTCGGTTTTATTTAACAATGCCATTCTGCGGAAACTGTGATACTTAATAATATTTGACATTAGTTTTCAAGTTAGTATTTATAGATGTATAAAATGAGATTATATCAAGTCAATTACAAAATTTTCATTTAACCAATCCAACCCACATCACCTTGCTGCGTAATTGATTTCAAATCCAATGAGACAATAATAGAGAAAGAGGGATAATCTATTATAAATTCGGTACAACACCGGTATCAAGTCCAAGAAGAGACCAAGTTAAAGAGATGGAGAAAATGGAGACAGATCCTCCAGCCTCCACCTCACAGGTACCTCAGCCGGAGATAAGCTCCTCGACTGTGAAGGGCACGGAGGGCTAAACCCTAACTGTGGAAGCGTATATACCCTCGTAGGAGGTAGATGTCCACTCCTCGGAGGATGGGAGGGGTCAGAGAATGATGGGAAATCCCCATCTACAACAGGAAGATCCCCATATATGATGACTTATAAACTGTATGATGAGCTATAACTCAAGAAAGGGGGACACAATAGATCTTTAAGGTCGCAGTGATTACCCCCCCCCCCCTCTTACTCATGCTACATTCTACATTCTACAAGATTTCTTTGAAGAAGTGTTCACATTTTACTTCCTTTTCATTTAATTCGTTTCATTTGGCATCGGCAGTTAAATGTGATGTAGCACAAGAATGAATTATTAAAGTACATATAATATTCTCAGGCTATCCACATGTATGCAAGAAATGTGAAATGTAAGAAACCATCTGGTATATATGTATCATTGTATGGACTATTATCCCAATACATGTACCGCATGATCGAAAAAAAAACGGTGTAAAAGACGGGAAAGACAAACGATGATAATTTTGGCAAGGTCAATTTTTAGAAATTTACTAAAAATTGGCATAGAACTTGTTACAAATTAATATTAAATATAGAAATATTAAAAAGGATAGAACGTTTCCAGACACACAAATCCAAAATCCAAATCCAAAATTTCCAAAAAATATTGTTTCTCAAAATTTAAACTTCACATTTTAAATATTGTAAACAGCTCTGTTGTAATATAATGTAAACAGCTCTGTTAATAAATATTATGTTCATATCTGAAGATATGCATGACACTTGTACTACAATTTTACTTGCAAATTCTTTGTATTTAATTTTTTCATGAAATATTGTACAATTAATAAATAATTTAATTTTTGTCATATCCAGATATCGTATTAGTGTCATTTAAGTTTCCATTTGCGGGAATTCGACAACCCAGTTTATAATTTTGCTTTAGATTTTGTGGGACTTGGGCAATATTGAAAATGTCAATTTTCTTTGAAATAGATTATTGCAATTTCTGTCTTAATTTTGATCGTTATGATTGAAGGGCCTGAAACATTTATATTGCTACGTTAACGGAACACAAACCCGATTCAATTTCATACGTACGTATAAGATGAACAAATTCGTTGATAAGTCTGGTACAGATGTACTTTCATTGAATTATATTATTGAAACAAAATAAAATAAAAAAACTAGTTATCGGGAACTCTATCAAACTTTTAATATTATTACTTACTTTTTTTCCCAAAAAATATGAAAGTATGTTGCGGATTGCGCCATGGTATATTCCAAATTCTTATTTTTTTATCTCTGTGTAACTTTGGAGGGCAAGTATATGCCTATTTATTACGTCGCGACTAATTCGTATGTTTTAAATACAACATCCTGTATATTATTCAATATTTAGATATATAATAATATAGAATTCTATTTAAGATTTTTTTATCTATGTCAGCAAAGACCATCTTTTGTCTATTAATGATTAGTTTAGTTTTTAATTTGTTATAAAGTGCTATAACAAAAATAATTTTTGATGTTATAGCGTAAAAGTATGTGAAATGTACTATTTTAGTTTTCTTCTGTTATTAATTTAACATAAGGCTTGAACTAAAATTATTTTTGTTAATACAGAGTACACAGTTTAATCACCTATGACGTCACGATACGAACGAAATTCATCTAGACATTTCGAAGGTAATACGGGGAATTTCGAGGGTATTTCGGCGAATTTCGGGGGAATTTCGAGGAATCTTTCCCGAAAAGGGAATTTCAGTGTACAAATTTTGGCAGTGATTTCACCCTCGGTTAACTACTGTGCTTAAATTTACTGGTGTATGTGAGTGGTAAAGTTATACAGACCTGGAGGCAACGGATTCTCTTTTTCTTGAAAGACGTCCATATTGGGTTAAACTGGAGTCAGATTTTGAACAAACTGCGTCTCTGAATATCTGAAAAAAAATATACTCATATTAAAAGCTATAATGAAAAAATTTTAAGAATAATTTTTAAAAATGTATATAGAGACATGTATTTTTTAATTATTTTAATAGTGAAGGTTTATAATACCATATAATCGAGTAATATTAAATGTAACTGAGCTTTGACATGCATGTCGTTACGTTTAGTTTCAAATTCGCTACCAAGAATACATAAAAATTTTCCCAAAATAAAACTTGAATTATACTTGTTAGATAAATATTTTATAACTACCTAATTACAAATGGATTCATAATCACTCCTCGAATATAACTACAAGTGCCTACCTAATTTCATATTATAATAATTCTTAATAATTAATCCAGACATCAGTTTTGTCAACGGAAGTCACTTTTTTTATATATCTGATTAAAATACTCCGGAAAACAACGAACGCCTTCAAAATTAGGTAGATTTATGAAATAAAAATATCTATATAAAAGTAACTCGCAAAATATTTTTGTTTTATTTTCTAGCTGGTTTAATCATAAAACTGTACTGTGGTTCCCCCCAAACTCAACCTTATCAATATTATTCTAGTAGAAATCAGAATGTGAATATAAATTTTAAAAACAAAAAAAGATTTTAAAATGGCTGACAATCGGATACTTGTTAAGAATGGCGGATTACTGTGTCCGACTTAATATGAACTACCAATATACCAAGTCCGACCGGGTCTCCAACATTAGTCATCTCACACGACCAAAGTGATCAAACCGGACGACCGGCAATCGTATTATAACGTATACAGACCGGACCATCGTAGTAGTAACAGGCAGAACAGGAAGAATTAGCGTCTATAAAATGAATAACTCTGAATTTTGACCGTTATTTTTTACCAACATGGCAAATATAAAATCCCTCGTCAAAAAAAATACTGATATTCTTTAAGTTTTCTTTAAATTGAGTGCCTGAACGAATCAGATAGGTAACTCTTGTTACTTTCGTGATATAGAAAAGGAAAATAATAAAACAAGTGACAGTTCTTCCTCTTCTTGCAAAAATCAACACGAAATGGCATAATTGTCAAAAGTAAAACGTCATCAGCTTTTGACATTTCTAAATATCAGACCAATGCCGTCTCTAATAGAACAGCCTCGGAGCGAGATTTATGACGTCACGCTAATTAGATACGGATTAATAAATATGTTGTAGAATACATGGAAAACATAATTATTCCTCGTATTTTTGGTTTGTATTTTAAAAATGATATAGTTTACATGAAATATACATAATATACAGTTAATAAATATAATATATACCTATTTATAGTAATAAATACTTTGGCAAATAAACTATGAACCATACAAATGCAGCAAATGTTTTACAATATACAAATAATGAATAGCTACATAAGATAATTAGTAAAATGCAAAATATATTTTAAATTTTGGGGTTTGAAACATATATTTTGCAAGTATCAATGTTCGAAAAATTATATTTGCAAATAATACAATGTCATTTTATAATGTAAAATTATTCTAAAATTTTTGATTTTCTTGGGATTTAGGTTCGAGAAAAACGCTGATTAAGTTTTCATTTGGTTTTTCATTATTTTTTTTGGTTTAAAAAAAAACATTATAGCCTTAATCAGTGTTGTGTCATATAAAAAAAATAGTGTCGAGTATAATCCAAAAAATTGCATATAAAATATTCACACCACAAACCACATAATGTTTACTGCAATTAATAAACTAATATAAACTTGTCAAAAGATCAAAAGATGACCACATATTTTTTAAAATTATTATTCTTAACACTAAAACTATCTACATTGACTATGGAGTACGATTTCAGCCATAGTCAAATATAAGGAATAATTATGTTAGCGTGACGTCATAAATCTCGCTCCGAGGCTGTTCTATTAGAGACGGCATTGCGTCAGCATGACCGCAAGTTGCTAACCATTTGCTAACCTAATAAAATTAACACTTAATATAGCAGGGTAGACGTCGGGTTAGTTCAAGTATAGGTACATATGTACGTCGTGCAAGCCAACGTGGGAACGACACGTTGGGAAATTAATAAAAATGGTACGTTGTTATTTTGTACGTCGACAGATCGTTGGATTTACCGACTCTGATCCAACGACGTCGCTTTTAATAGGAAAGCGACGTCACCGGTCGTATCACCAGCACCCGACCTAAATTTGCACAAAGTCTGACGTCGCTTCAGGTCAGATTTAGTTCGAAGTCAGATAGATGCTACTTGGGTCTAGTGACAATTTAATGCAACCAACAAAATTATTGAGAATTCCCTAAATTATATTTTTACAGTATTTAAATAAAATTAGAAAGGCACTGATGAACCGGAACTCGTAATACCCTATCGCCCTCCACGAAGTTTGATAATGTGCTTCTCTGCTTCTTCCTAAATATTTTTATTCAAAGATAAGAACCACAATATGCATATCCACAATATGATTGTATTATAAATTGGATAACTTAAATATGCTAATAATTGCGTTAATATACTAACGTTACTATCAGAACTATATTACATTGTATTAATAAAACGATTTCATTAAATAAAAGTCTTGGCGAGTGACATGCAATGTCGCAAAAAACGAAAACAATATTTCTCGCAAGGCAATACAAGAAAGAAAAAAAAACACAAAGACTTTACCTTGTAACAAACTAACGTGAAAATTCCTAATATACATATTTATGATGCGTCATTCGTTTATTGTTCTTCGTGTGGGGTGGCATACGATTAATTCCCCCCTTAGGTAAAAGACGGTCGACGCTAGAAAGAACGGTTAAAAAAAGTCTCATTTGCACACATTTCCACCTGGAAGGAAATTTATGTTTTCCGTTTTTTTAACGAAGAAAAATGTTTCGCTTTAAGACTGATTATCATATGTCACTCCTACTTTCGTTAAATAATATTTCTGTTTTAATTATGTATAAATATTGGCGTGCGAGTTTTTATTATGCCCATTTTATAAGGTCGGTGAAGTTTACCCCCCGTACTAGTCGAAATGGTGCCCGGTGGCGTAGAGGTACAGGCTCTCCTCTACCAATCTCAAGGTAGTGGGTTCAAATCCCATACCCGGCATTTCATCAGCCGACTATTTTTATTAAAATAAAAATAGTTTGGGTACCTAGGTCGACTCAGCCTTAAATGAGTACTTGGGATTCACAATCCTGAGGTAATAATAGGCGGTTGAAGCGTAGTACTAGCCACATTACCTTCCATGTATACCGAACGGCTCTAGTATGGCAAGCTGTACCTTGCTACTCCCAAGGCGTCAAACGCTATATACGGGAGCTATTATTATATACTAGACGAAATTCAAAAATAGATATACCACTATTTTGCACACAGTTTTGCAGTTTGTCCAATTCTGTGTGAAATGTCCCATTTAAAAAAAACATAAGTATGAGTCATATTTCGAAAATGATAGATCTTAGCGACGTGAAGAGAAGAACATTTATGAAACTAAAGATTCTACACACAGATTTGTCCTAGCCCTCGTACTTCCTGAAATACCGGTCAAATTTGAAAATTTTGCATTTTTCGACACCCCTCATATCTCGGTTATCCTATAACTTATCGAAAAGGCGAAGTCTGAGTTCCGTACAGCTTTTCGCGTCGCTGAGATATATCATTTTCGAAATATGACTCATACTTATGTTTTTTTTTTAAATAGGACACTTCACACACAATGGGACAAATTTCAAATATTCAAACTCTTATAACCTTTTTCAGGAGAGTGTGCAAAATTAGCCATTTTGTTTGATATAAACAAAATTCAACTTTGTAGGTGATGGGCGGGAAATTGCAAATTCTCAAAACCTCATAACTTTAATCAGAATAGTGTGCAAATTTCAAAAACAGGTGTGCAAAATGGTGTAAAATATCCGATTCGTTTGATATAAACAAAATTCAATTTAGTCACAGAGGGGGGGGGGGGAGAGTTTCAAATTTTTAACCCTTCATAACTTTCGTCAGGAGGGTGTCCAAATTTTAAAAATAGGTGTGCAAAATTGTGCAAAATTAACCGAATACATAGAAATAAATCAATTTCGTAACAGATGGGGGGGAACAACGGTCAAGTTTACCACTCGTTTAATAAAGGCTCTGGTTTCTCTTAGGTAAGTGTGCAAAATATAATTTATGGTGTGCAAAATGTGTGCAAAATAATGGTATATCTATTTTTGAATTTTCTCTAGTACGGGGGGCAAACTTGACCGACCCCATTTTATACAGTGGAGATAAAACAAACTAAAATTTTGAATTGAGCGACACATCGTACGCACATCAATTATTGGCCTTCTATGTTCTTCAAAGGACTGATCTGTCATGGCGCCGGTGCTGGTAATTCAATCTCTGAAATGTAAAATTATTAATCGACGGTCTTGAAGTGCTATGGTTTCTCTGCATCGTTCAGTGGTTCAGGCCCTCTCGCCCTATATCCTCGCCCTTCTTGAGTCCACGCCCAACTACACCATATTATGACACTTAAATATCTGTTTGTTCTGGTGGAAAATTTCCGTCCTGACTAACCTGCCTTGCAGAACCGAACAATTCGATACCTTTGAGAGTCACTAGGCTGAGGTGTCCAAACAATTATATGCAGTCTATGCATTACGGCTACTTCAGCAAACTTTGGAACAAACCTTTCTAGTTCTATGATTAAAGTGTGACCTTAATTTTGCGCAGAGCGAATGGTACCGTGTCAGTTACCGACAAATTTAGGTATTGAAATATTCACAAGTTATATTAGATTAGATTCTAAGAGGTGGCTATCGCCGTGACCATTTCAGATTTATTGTTGTTCTCTTCCAATCCTTAAGGATTGGAAGAGAACAACATCCTTAGACTACATTCTCCTGTCCTATCCTTTTAAAAAAGTCTAGTAACTTGAAGACTGAACCCTCCATATAGCTCTTTGTCAATGACCTATCATGGCTACTAGGCAATGATGGGTTCTTTGTACTCAAAGAACCGCAGATTTACCAGGCTGTCG